CGTCACTCCTATATTGTGTTTTCCGAGATAAGCCAAACGTTTATTGATGTATTTCTTATACAGATAAATAGATTTAAACGCATTGACCAATAATGAAGCTTAAGCTTGTTACCCCCTTGCCACTTAAAACATTTGAAGTAACACCATCATATAGATCTGTTATACTCCAAACTTGAATGTCCGTCACAACAAAATACATCTTAATCCATGATTATGTCGTGATGACCACATCAAAGACATCCTTGCTATCAAGTGTTGTAATAAATACAGTGGTCTTCCCCGCCATCTGCAAGCAGACCTCTGATAAAATCAACGAAAAATAATGCTGCCCTACTTGTTTTTTGTTTTGCCATGCTTGGTTAGAGCCCTTCAGAAAAAAAAATTTCAAAAAATGCATGCAAGACTGGTTAAACTGATTAATTTCGGCCTTGTCTACAAATATAAATTTCTGCAAATAAAGTAATGGCTCTATGGTTTTCAGTTTTCGTTGAATCTTACCTTTTTTCAGTGTTGTTATGATTCCAGTTATAAACATGCCACTTTTCTTTTTTCAAAATGTATGGTCAAATATGCCAGTAACCCGTGCGAACGCGTATATAAAGGACATTTTAAATTGATATCTATGACTACAAATAGTCATTCTCGATTTTCTCCTCATTTCAGTTCATATGAAAGGATCAGTCTATTAATATATTCATGATTCACACGACCATCGTTTAAGTTTATTAAACGTTAATTATACAGCAACCAAATCACAACAAAAGGTTTTTAGTAAAATTCTCCCTTAAACATGATTTAAATATATCTAAGAGTCCATGCTATTGTCCTGCATGTAACTTATCCCAGATTAATTTGAATGTAGCACAGTTTGTTAACGTTTTGCTTAATGGTGGCGAGTCTCTTGAATACAAGATTTTACTGGCAAATGGATAATACAGACGTTGATTCTATTACATCATTTTTTGTAAATGTTTTCGGTTAAATCATTGTAGACAAATAAGCTTGTTTGCTTTCCATATCTGGGTGAACATACAGATGGTTTCTGCTCATATTTGTTCAAGCTTCAAATCATAGCTATTGCTGTTGCCTTTGAGTAGAACGCCAATTATATCATCGTCACTATTATTTAATGCGTTTCTTCGTATTTATCAATGATAGACTTTAAATATTAATGATACTCAAAGTCTGGGTACACATTCTTTGTTGGTCTATATGCATTGATAAAGGTTTATTTTAGGTTTGATTGCAGTTGATATTTTAATTGCCAGTATTCTATGGTTTTCATCTTCCACTTTAAAAAAATAAAATTTATTCTTTTTACACATTGTGTTTGGAAATTCTCAAAAAAGGAAAGATACCAAAGGGATATGCAAACTCATAAGTCGAAAATGAACTGCCAATTCCACGACAAAAAAACTAAACACGATCAAAAGACAAATAGCCGTATACAAAACACAGCATAAAAAACCAAAGACCAAAAACCGGGGATGATCAAATGTCCATTATAATCAAGACTACTAAAAAAAAAGGAAACGGAGAAACGATCCTTCCTGAAAATTTCTTTTGCTAACAAAGGATTTGATGCAAACAAATCTTGCGAAATGAAAAATCGGTCTGTACCAGTCATCTCGAATACCTATACCACACTTATTATTGCCACCAAAATATTCAACTACAAACATATGTTGCATAATCTCCATATTGACGATTTCAAGTAAAAACCTCCTGAAAGCACCTGTGCAAGTTCCCCATTCATATATAATCCGGGAGACACGTTATAACTGGTGACCTTAACATTGTCAACAACACATTTTTATGAAATGTGTTAGCCAAAGGATATAAATGCCGTAAGCCAAAGTCCATAAACTGGAAACATAACTTTAAAATAATTGAAGAATCAGTCGATGATTATTTCAGATATTGGACAAAACGTGAAATAGAAGGTAACGAGGTCGTTGATACAAATCAAGATTAAAAGACTAAATGAGTCTGTGAACGCATGTGTTGCATCTATCTTCAAAGACCCAATTTTTGCTAAGCTCTTGTTTTACATCCATGACAAATGTAGTATTGTCCCCGCAGTCAAAGTCCCAAACAATATCGTTTTTGTTTGTAAATCACATAATATTTAATGCTTGATAAAGGAATAAAGTGTTGACCAATCACTTGGAAACCCAACATAAACTCTCATATACTTACATAAGAGAAAATCATTAACAATGATAGATCAGTTTTATGTTTCTTGAATTCAACCAAAGACGAATAACTGGATCGTCCTTCACTGTACTGGATACCCAAATTACATAACAACATATTTGTTACATTTTGAGGACATGTTTGTCAACAGAGAATCGGCATTTTTATGGGAACCAGCTGTGCCCGTTTGTTTTCCGACTTGTTCTATTGTTATTATGAGGAAGACTTTATATAGCAGTTTCTCAAGAAAAATGAAAAGAAACTGGTTTATCTTTTAATTTCACTGTCCGCTACATACTAGTAGATGGTGACCTTTCATTGCATAATTCAAAATTTGGTGGCTATGTTGACTGGATATATCCCAGTGAACTTGACATAAAGGATACAGTTAAGTCTGTCTCATATCTTGACTTCCATCTGGAAATTGACAATAAGGGTCGAGTGAGAACTAAAGTTTACAACAAAATAGAGGTTTTTAATTTTCCGATTGTGAACTTTCCTTTACTGTGTAGCAACAAACCAGCAGCTTTCATCTCTATTTAATTTGTAGCATTTTGGGCCATCTTTGAAGCTGTTTTTTTTTCTCTTTTCATTTTTGGCTCAGGTATTGATCCCATAAGTATGCTGCTTTGTAACTTCTTTATCGTTCATGATGTCTAAACGTTCTGTTAGTGGCTAAACTGATTGCCTTTACTATTGCTTTATTGGTGGTTAATATTGGAGGTCGTATTTTCTCTCAACTGTTTTTTGTTCTAATAATTTTTAAAATTTTTAAATTGTTTGTTCAGATAACAATGTAACAATGTCGTCTATTCTTTGTTCTGGAAACCATGATTTCATTTTAAACGTTCTCATTTCGTCACCTTCAGGGTTAACATATTTAGTTTCCATGGCCGATGATTTATGATTTTGTTGAACGAGACCAATCTGCTATTTTATCTTGTCTAATCACGGGATATAACTCATTAAATTATTTTAAATAATTTCATTATGGATACCAGGATTAAAATTTTATACGACAGACGCGCGTTCGTCTACAAAAGTCCATCAATGTCGCTCGAATCAAAAAAGTTAAAAAGGCCAAATAAAGTACGAAATTGAAGAGTATTGAAGACCCAAAATTCTGAAAGGTTTTGCCAAATACTGCTAGGTAATTTATTTCTGGGGTAGAAAATTCTTCGTATTGCGGAAAAATCTAATTTTTATAAACAGTAAATTTGTAATTATGACCATATCAATGATAATTCGTGTCAACACAGAAGTGCTTAACAGGAATACACCGCAGTTATTACATGTAGTGACTGCTGACCCTTGTATGATGCGGGCTGGTGACAGGAAATTTTTTTGTTGCAGTTTTTTTAATCTGTCAAAATGTTAGTTGAAAAACAACGAATACGGCTCCTTATCCCGGCCTCGATAACATACGAAAAAATATATATATATGCAGCTGGGATGTAAAACCTTCTTTGAGAACAAAGGGTAGACAAGATCATTACCTATAATAATTATTCAACAAAACCCCAATTTCCTAGCCATAGTTAAACATTAAACGTGCATTTTACAATACCACGTCTTCCAAAATACTTTTATATAAATGAGATTTGACAAACTTCATTTCGAATATTCAGTTTTAAATATCATCGATTTTAATATTATATTTTTCATTCATATTTACTTAGGAATCAGCAGTAAAGTAATTTGTATAAGTGGATCCAATTTCAAAGTGTTAGCAGCAACCATAGTTATACTATATGTGGAATAAAATTGATTTTCAGGTCACTGATGCTGAAATTGAAACACCACATATGATAAATAATACCAGTCCATGCAGTCTCCATGTACAAGATAATCCTTTTGATGTTTGGAAATTCATTGGTTTATAATGCTGATTTACTGTCGAAACTGCTTTCATTAGGTATTGGAGGCTTTCCAAAATGGGCTTTCAACATTTCTGTTTTTGTAATATGAACAAGATAATCTTAGCATCAGTATGAATGAAAATTACACTACAAATTTCGTCCGTCGAAAGCGCTTTTTTGGGATTTACGTTCATCATGAACTCTCAACCTTTAACATTTGAAAGCCAGGAATGCATAAGTACTTAGAAACGGAGCTATAGGACCAAAAAGGACATACAAAGAATAAACAAATTCATTTAAGGACAACTTTGCTTGAGGGAGTTGCAGCCATAGTTTCCTAGTAATTTCTTAATTCATCAACGGGGAATTTTAGAAACAAAAATGTGTTATAAATCTTGTCAGTACCAAATAACTGCTGATTACTGAACTGATGATACCTACGGGACTAATAGTCCACCATCTCAAAGTCATTGTGAATAACGTAGATATGCGAAACAATTGTCTATGCAAACTTTTTCACTCATAAAAAATCTTTCAGATAGTTTGAAGTTCCACGTATTTATCTAAATTTTTTCAATCCCTTCCTTTGCAAAAGTGATGTTGCAACGCCAAGTGTTTGATTTTACTATATAACATCAATGGTTTTATTTCTCTATATATCGTATTTAGTTTTCGAAATTAATCTGTTTTTCTATAAAATAAAATGAACAACTTTATTTTATAATCAAAGTACATCAGTTTATTATGGTTGTTTTTCATATAGGACTACATGAACCATTACTATTAATCGTTCATCAAACTTATAGCTGCATTAGATCAAAGTAATTTAAATCTCGATTTCTGTTTTTATTATTTCAAACTTCGTCATTTTATTCATTGATTCAAGTCAACATTTTACTATGTATAATGAAGTGTTAATAAAAGTGATAGTTTTTAAAAGTTGATGTTAAAAACGGATTTTAAAGGTAACATGCGTGAAATGACTAAGCTTAGTATAGGTGGGAAACTTGATAGAGGTATAAAAAAAAACAGGTAGGAACAGCTCAAAGTACAACAGGTATACAAGGTATATTATTATATTGATTTTACATGTACAGAATATCTTTGTTCAAATGTAAATATTTCACAATTCATTTTTTTCGATTTAATCAAATCAATTAAAGTAAATTCATGTTTATTGTTTTTTCATCTCACTTTGTTTGTTCAGTGGAATTCGTATTGATTTTATTTGTACATAGAAGATATAATTTTGTCGGTATTTGCTTTCAGAATGGCAGATATTTTTACACCACGTACTCTAAGTGATACCAAATCACTAAGGATGCTTGTACAAACTGAAGATCCAACTTATTATGGATTGAAAAGGTTGAAGATCAAAGGCAAAGATCTGAACGATTTACCTAACTCTGTATTCAATATTTTGGAGCTAGAAGTTTTAGAACTTAGTCCAGAACGCGAAGCATGTCTTGATTATAAACTTCCAGAACTTCCACACGCAATTGGAAAATTGGTCAACTTGAGGGTACTTATTCTGGATACTAATGAATTGGAAACATTGGCACCGGAAGTAACATTATTGGTCAGTTTGGAGAGACTTGTTCTTAGTAATAACCATTTATCTAGCTTACCAACTGGATTTATGAATCTGAAAAATCTTAAAAGTCTCCATCTGTCTAACAATGAACTTAAAGAGTTTCCACTAGAACTTTGTGATCTGGTTAATTTAGAATTTCTGGATATGTGTGACAATGCGCTCGAGGACCTTCCTGTGAAGATTTCAAAAATGAAGAAGCTCCATACGTTACTTCTGTGTTTCAACCAATTGAGAAAAATTCCAAACAGTATTTGTAAAATGACTGAGCTGCGCTGTCTATGGCTAGGAAACAACTTATTGAAGTCTCTCCCAAAAGACTTCGGACAACTGAAGAACATTGATTGGGACTGGCGGTATATTTCGTCGTTACTGGAGGATAATCCGCTTGTTCGTCCTCCGATAGAAGTATGCCGTCTGGGAATGGATGCAATAGAAAACTATCTCAACACCAACAACGGAAAGCGGAAGACTCGAAGTAATGCTTCGTATGGAAACAGACGGTAAATGCAAATACAGACAAAGTGGAAATAATATGGAACCCTGAGTATTTACTTTATCATTATTCATATCTACAAGCACAAATAATTTAACTAAATATTTTGTTATTTTTCATTTTTATAGTTTTATTATTATTCTAACTGTAAAGAGATCAAAGTTTCCTCGGCATCATGAAGAAAAAGTTTTTGTATATTGAATCATAACCCCAATATGATTTATTATATTTGTTTTAACATTATAATGTTTACCGTTTTGCAAATGCATATGAAACATATTTATGAACAGCAGTTTTGTTTTATGACCCAAATTAAATCTCGTAATTGTGCTTTAAACTTAATCTATTTGTGAGACAAGAACATTCCGTGTTTGCACACGAAAACACTCCTAGTAATATCTATTTACAGCATTACCTATGTTAAATCAAAATATATTATTAAAAAAAATATATCGTTTATAGTTATTAATCGTGGATTATGCATTGAAAGCAGAATTTTATGCATTATTATTATCATGATATATAGGAGTTTACAAGAATTTATAATGGTATTAAAACAATTCTACTTGATATATCTTAAAATGAAGGACACAACATATCGCATAAAGAAACATTAACGTATAAAATTATGTAAAAAGTGGTAGCGGATACAAAGAGGTAATAAAACAACAAAAGTCAGACAATACCATGGCCTACAGAAAAATGACGAAAAGAAAAAAATGCCTGAATTACTGCACAGTAAATTAATTAAAGTATAGATTAAGATTGACTAACACGACATAACAAAAACATGATGGTAAACCCACGCTATCCGAAAGGATTGAAAAAAGAGGGACGAAAGATACCAGAGGAACAGTCAAACTCATAGATCGAAAACAAACTGACAACGGCATGGCCAAAAATAAAAAGACAAACAGACAAATAATAGTACAGATGACACAACATAGAAAACTAAAGACTAAGCAACACGAACCCCACCAAAAACTGGGGGTGATCTCAGGTGCTCCGGAAGGGTAAGCAGATCCTGCTCCACATGTGGCACCCGTCGTGTTGCTTATGTTATTACAAATCCGGTAAATAGTCTAATTAGGTAAGTCACATTCGTGAAAAGGGAAGGGTATTGTAGTTACGACATAAGGAACATATCCGATATCATCTGTGAAACGGTTATTCCGTAACGGTCAACCAACTCGTGATGGCGTCCGTAAAATTTACGAAGGGATGACTTCAGCTTCACCATTTGAAACTCTTGGTTTAATAGCTTCCTTGTGAGCAGCAATCCTCTATCAAGGAAATCATGATAGGAAACACAAGCCCGGGAATATCGTATCAATTGGGAGATATATACTCCGTATGCAGGCGCTGCTGGAATGTTGCTACATAGAAATGGAAAGTTCACAATTGGGAAGCTGAAATCATCTCTTTTGTCGTAAAGTTTTGTTTTCAACCGACCCTCATTGTCAATTTCTAGATGTAAGTCAAGATATGAGGCAGACTTAACTGTATCTTTAGTATCCTTTATCTCTAGTTCGATGGGATAGATTCGTTCAACATAGTCACCAAATTTTATATTATTAAGTGAGAGAACATCATCTATATAGCGGAACGTAGAGTTAAAGGATATTGCTAACTTCTTATCTCTCTTCCTAAGAAGCTCCTGTATGAAGTCAGCCTCATAATAATAAAGAAACAAGTCGGCAAGAAGAGGGGCACAATTGGTTCCCATTGGAATTCCGACAGTCTGTTGAAAAACACGTCCTCCAAACGTAACAAATATGTTGTCAATCAAGAAATCAAGCATCTTGATAATGTCAGTTTCAGAGAATTTTTTGTTTGAATCAGAGTAATTCTTTACAAAGTAGGATTTATCCCTCCCCAAGACAAGATACTTGTATCTACGTTCGCCATTCTTTTTAATGAAACAAAGTAATACCAACTCTTTCAATTTGTCTTTTAGTTTGGAATGGGGAATACTTGTGTAAAGTGTAGAAAAGTCAAATGTTTTAATACTATTGCAAGATGAGAGAGTCTTAGATTGTATGTACTCTAAAAGATCTTTGGAATTTTTTAGTATCCACATCTGATTCACGCCACCTCTAGAATAGGCAGTTTCACAATAACTTTGGAGTCCGGCTTTGATTGCTGATAAAATAGATGTTAATAGTTTAGAAAGAGGTTTCGTGGAGCACTTGGAAGACCCAGCAATATACCGTTGTTTGTAAGGACACTTATGTAGTTTAGGTATCCAATACAGTGATGGAAGATCCAGTTCTTCGTCTTTGGTTGAAATTCCAAAGGAACATAGAACAGACCTATGATTATCTAGGACTTCCTCCTTGGTAAGTGTCGTGAGGGTATATGTTGAGTTTCCAAGTGAATTGTCAATACCTAATTCATTTATCAAGCAGTTTATGTAATGATATTTACACACAAAAACGATGTTGTTTGGGGCTTTATCTGCGGGGACAACAACATATTTGTCATGGAGGTAGGACAAGTGTTTCGCAACATTTGGGTCTTTCAAAATTGATGTAGCGTGGGTATTGATATGCCCATTCAGTTTCTTAATTCGGATTTGTATCAACGACCTCACAGCCTTAATCCATTCGGAAAGAGTATCTACGTCTTCTTTCTCGCGTTTAGCCCATTGCCTGGCATAATCCTCGACTGAATCCATCAGTATTTTGAAGTTGTATTTCCAATTGATGGATTTAGGCTCACGATATTTCGGACCTTTGGATAACAAATTTCGCAGGGAAGTGTTATTGACAATGTTGAGGTCTCCGGTAATAACGTGGCCAGCCGGATTATATGTGAATTGGGAACTAGCACAGGTGCAATCAGGAGGTTTAGACTTGAAGTCGTCAACGATTGACAGTTCCTTCTCAAACAGAGGCATCCGTCATGTTTCTTATAGAAACATCTTCGTCATTTGGGCTCTGGTGGATATTTATATCAATGGTAATTATACCACGTCTCATTATTTTATACCAGGGAAAATAAAACTTACAATTAAAAGATGAAAAACCACACCACAAAAAAAAACAAACAATAGTCCAATAAACACCACATCGAAACTTAAGATTGAACAGCACGACCCTTAAAAATTATCAAGGGTTAATTTAAGTGCCCGAAAGGGTCAATAGTTATTGCCCCAAAAGTTACTTTCATCGTGTTCAATCCGGTGACAACTCAAATCGGTACTTGGTTGGTCATGCATACAACATCTCTTGTCTCACTCTAAGTTTAAATTTACATCTAGACCTATTACATGACAAATCGAAATCAGTGTTAAGGACAAAAGATTGACAAGGCATTTTCGATTGAAATAACACGTGCATTGAACAAAAAGTATACAGTACAACGACAGGAAACAAAAACAAACACAAAGGATAAAATCAGGTGCTCCGAAAGGAAAGTCCTTCATATACCACTAGTGAAACCCGTCGTGTTATCTTTACGAACTCTGATGAAGAGCGATAAACGAAGAAAGAGAACATGATAGTGAACAGAAAGAACACGAAGTTTGTAAACATTGTTATCCAGACTTGGACCACTATAAACCAGGTTTAGAAATATAATCATAAAATATTATGTTTCCTTAGATAAGGAATTTATTATATAAGCATATAAATGTATTTGTTCATTTTGTCATACTATTTATCCACATTTATAGTTAAGTTGTGCTTCATTTATTCTAGGTTTTTAATTCTATTGATGCATGATGACAATTTTTATCCTCAATGACTTGTTTATTTCATATTTAATAATGTTTATGTTAATGGAAATATTTTTTTATTGAAATTTAAAAATAAGACTATCAAACACATATATATATATATATTGAAATACTCTTTCGGTTTCACTAAAAACATACAGGCCAAAATAGTCATGCATTCATATCTTTTTATTGGGTTTAAACATTTACATACGCGCATTGAATTGGGATTAATTTTAGTTTTTATTTCATTACATATCAATATGTTGATGTAAAACTTTATGTTATGCTCATTTTTGTGATCTATGTTTTTTTTTCTCAGATTTTAGGAATCCCCGGTCAGTAACCTTTTAATTCGTTGTTGTTTCTTTTAAGCCTCTTTGCATATCATTATGTTAAGGTCTGTTGAAACATTTTTTCATAACTTGGACAGATATTGTGTCGTTTTAAGATGAGTTAAGAGACGTGCAATATTTGATGAATAACACCAATTGATTAAAGAACATTGTGACAATTGTGATAGGTCTTTAAATTTTAACTGATATATTCCTTTCGAAACAAGGAAAATCGATTAGTTTTATTAGTTTTCCTTTGAGTAAGAGGCGATTTTATGAGGACGACCTTAAATGAATTTGGCTATGATTTCAAAACTCTTTTTGATTGTAGAGTACCTCACGTTACCAATGAGTTATACACCCTGGCCTTTCAAATAATCGGATATGAGCGTTCCTGGTAAATGTAAATCCAGACAAGCGTTTCGGACGAACCAAATAAAAAAAAAGGGTAAATTTTACTTTCTAGCACTTGGTCGATAACGCTGCTGATGTTATCATCAGTTCATTAGTCAATGTTTTTGTTATCATACCTGTTAATAAATTCTACGTTGACAAACTTAGAAATTATTAAGTAACTATGGTTCAAGGTTGTCATTTGATGGATTTCGCTATTATTTCATGACCGCTTTTGGTTAAATAACTCCTCACATAATCAATCAGCTATACATTCTTGGTTTTCAAATTGTATGATTTGAGTGTTCCTAAAGATGGTCAACCCAACAATTGTTTGCGGACGCGCAAATTTCTAAAGATTAATTTTCTGTTTTCAAGCACTGGGTCGATAACGCTGCTGTTATATCTCTTGTTCTCGAGGGTATCATCAACTCAGCAGTCGGAAATTTGGTGCTGACATGATCTATGACATATTCTGTCTTACATCATCTGTTCACAAATTTAGAAATAATTACGAGACTATTTAAGTTTAAATCCAGAGTCTAGGTTGTCCTTGAGATTGATTTGGCTTCTAAACCCTTAATTAAATCCATAGTGTAGATTGTCCTTGAGATTGATTTGGCTTCTAAACCCTTAATTAAATCCATAGTCTAGGTTGTCCTTGAGATTGATTTGGCTTCTAAACCCTTAATTAAACCCATAGTCTAGGTTGTCCTTGAGATTGATTTGGCTTCTAAACCCTTAATTAAACCCATAGTCTAGGTTGTCCTTGAGATTGATTTGGCTTCTAAACCCTTAATTAAATCCATAGTCTAGGTTGTCCTTGAGATTGATTTGGCTTCTAAACCCTTAATTAAATCCATAGTCTAGGTTGTCCTTGAGATTGATTTGGCTTCTAAACCCTTAATTAAACCCATAGTCTAGGTTGTCCTTGAGATTGATTTGGCTTCTAAACCCTTAATTTAATCCATACTCTAGGTTGTCCTTGAGATTGATTTGGCTTCTAAACCC